TAAAGTATAGATCTTCTTTAACTGATGCAATTGAACCTTCATCAATGATCATAGCCTATAATGCTTTAACATCTCACACATCTGCGTCACTGGGGGGGGAAACTAGAGAGTGGAAATAGGGGGAGTAGGAGATCTAAAAATGATGGGTTTGATAGGGAATGCAGACATTTAAAGATTAAATTATGCAATGTCTTCAGACAATATCGCGAGTCCGCTGACCCGTATTTTTTGATGGAGTAATTTAAGCTTAAGAAGCAGCTGCAACAGAGCATGAACAGAAAGAGGACTGAACACATTAATACACAATGGGAACAATTATATTGGGCCATGACTTTAAACAATACAAAAATATTCTGGACCATAGTTTCGGGCGCATGTCATGCGGAGGCCCTCTCTATGTCTGCTGTCTCTCCCCAAGTGTGGTTTCAATATTTCTCGACATTATTTCATCAGGATGATGTCCGTACTTTGGAACCCTCAGGTTTTTTGTCTGCAGACCTACCTGACTGGTCTCCTGTAACATCCAATGAACTAAAAGAACTGATTGGCCAATTAAAACCAGGTGAAGCATGAGGCCTTGATATAATTCTAGCTGAAATTTTAAAACTGGACCGTGACTGGTGGGCATCTTTTTTTACAATGACTGATAAAACTGGCCTTATTCCTGATGCATGGTTAAATGTACTCGTGGTTCTAATTTATAAAAAAGGTGATTGCTCAGTTCCTTCCAATTATAGACCAATCAGTATGCTTTCCGTGATGGGTAAATTATACGTCAAGCACTTATTGTCTAAGCTTACCGTATGGATGACAGAACAGAGAGTTATAGGCCTGGAACAGCTGGGATTTTGTAAAGGGAAAACAACTTTAGATCGTTACATTGTATTACATTGGGGGGAAGCCGACAGGAGATTAAAAGTCTCTGGTTCGGGTTGGCTCATCTCAGAGAGATGAGGGGGCACCTGTAGCTTTTCTACAAGGAGGTGGATTGAAATAGTCCACTGAGACATGGACTGCCTGACAAGGTCTCGAGATAGCAAGAGGAAGGTTGCAGGCTTAACTTGTATGGGAAATTACAGCTGTTTCTATACAAAGGCTAGAAGTGTCTGAGGTAAAATTGGGGAGTTGGAGTGCTTGGTGTTGGAGGGGAAAATAGACATTGTGGGTATTTCAGAAACTTGGTGGGATGAGGAAAATCAGTGGGATACAGTGATTCCCGGTTATATATTATATCGGAAGGATAGGGGGGGAAGGGTTGGAGGTGGGGTGGCTCTGTATGTCAGAGAGGGTATAAAGTCCAGAAATATTGAGAGGCTAAGAGAATTGGATTCGCTTCTGGAAGTTCTATGGGTTGAAATAGGGGGGCCAAAAGGAAACTTAACACTGGGAGTTTGTTATCGCCCACCAGATCAAAAGATAGAGGAGGATTAGAAAATGATGAATGAATTAAAGATAGCAGCTAGACAAAAACTCTGTGTCATAATAGGTGATTTTAACTACCCACACATTGATTGGGTCAATATGTGTTCTAGTCGGGAAAAAGAGATTGAGTTTCTAGACACTCTAAATGACTGTGCTATGGAGCAGATGGTCACGGAACCTACCAGGGGAGAGGCAATCCTTGATTTGGTCCTAAGTAACACTCAAGACCTGGTGAGAGATGTAAAAGTGATTGCACCGCTTGGGAACAGTGATCATAATGTTGTTGAGTTCAACATTAGCTGCCTGTGCTGCAGGAATATTTTGGTGAAAAATATCAGGAGGAAATAGCTCACGCTGAAACTAGGATCCCACTCTGAAATTTTTGCACCACTTAACATGTCATGTTAACACTTTACGCTTCGCTTTCACTTATCTGGCCACCTGGACCCACCCCACAGTAACCTCAGGCTAGAATACTGCAATGCACTCTGCATAGGTCTCCCCTCAAAATCAGCTCGGAGATTCCACTTGGGGCGGAATGCCTCACCTCAGCTAATACTGGGCGCCAGTAGGAACATGCATATTACTCCCAGGCTATGGTCACTCCATTGGTTGCCCACCAGTTTCTAGGCTGAATTTCAGGTACTCGCTATGACGTACAAAACCATTCATGGGCTGGGTCCCTCATATCTGCAGGACCACTTCTCCCTGCAGGCCTGGGTGTGAGTGTGGTTGCGTCTCAGAATGCACAGATAAAGGAGAAATTTGGATCACGCTTACCAAGGAGCAGTCAAAGCAGGCACACCTTGATGAGCAGGGAAGATTTCTGACCAATCTGATTCCCAAGGACTCCTGCTTCCAATGGAGGTTTGGGTAGGGAGAGTGGTTTTTAATTCGGAGAAAAGCCTCTGGAGAGCAGGCTACCAGACAGACGCACCTCTGACTCTTGGCCTGGTGGCAGCAGCAGAGAGTCAGTCCCCCAATGTGCCGAGGAAAGCTGGGATTAAGCTGAAGAAGGGGACTCCTCTGTGAGGTCTAGCAGCTTAAGACCTGGGGCGGTTAAGTAAACCGCACGTGCCAGTGGTACGAAAGGGGCGGCTGCAGGGCCTGTTTTCAAACACTTCCAAAACCCGTAACAGACATATCCTGATCACATTGTTAATATTGACAGTCAACGACTATTTTGAAGTTACACCAGTATTTTTTTCAATTATGGTTTTAAAACACCCTAAGTGTAATTGCGGGTGGCAGAACGGCAGCCGTGGGGAGGCCGAGGCAAGGAAAATGGCCCCAATGTAGGCAAGACCTGCAAAAGTGTGCATTTTCTTCCCCACACAGTAAGCAAAGGTACTGTCCCAAATTAGGAAAGCACTGCAGCCACACTGTGGGGTAGGGTGGCGGCACGGAAGGGTCCACAATTTGGGGATGAGGTAATGTGGACGCTCCAGATGTTGTCTTTGCGGAAGCAGCCGCAGAGCAGCCAGATGTGAGTCCAGCAGCGCCTCAGAGACCCACCAGGAGGCTGGCCTTGAATCCGGTTGTTCTCCTGAAGACAGACAGCTCCCCTCGGAAGGAGCCACCAAGCTCCTTCAAATCACATCATGTGCATGGGCACAGCTTGCACCACAAAAGTAATGGATCCACAGCTTCGTGGCAACACCATTCTGCAAAAACACAGTTCTGAAACACAGATCCTCATGGATCCTTGGATTTTTTGCATTGGGTCACCCCAAACACAACATCAAATCACATAACATGTCCATGGCAACAGCTAGTACCACAAAAATCACGGATCCACGGCTTCGTGGTGAAACCATTCTGTAAAAACATGATTCTGAATTTGGGTGACCCAGTTGAAAAACCCTGATGATCCATGAGGATCCGTGCTTTGGAACCATGTTTTTGCAGTTCTGTGGTGCCACAAATTCGTGGGGGCATGATTTTTGTAGTGCTTCTTATAATCTAAGACATGGTCTACAGTATGATGTTGGTTTCATCTCATTTTAGCGTAGAAATATGAATTCATGAGGATCCGTGCTTTGGAATCATGTTTTTGCGCTGTTGTGGTGCCACGAATCTGTGGATGCGTGATTTTTGTGGTGCCCCCTATAGACTAACACATGGCCTACAATATGATGGTTGTTTTATTTCATTTGAATGTAAAAATCATATGAATTCATGAGGATCAATGTTGATCCGACTTTTACCTTTTTCCCATTTGGTGCAGCGCAGGCGAGACCAGCTAGCTGGTTCCAAGGAAATCCCTGCCAAGGTGTGAAGAAGCGCTCAGCAGGTTGGCACAAACAGGTCCTGATGCAAGGGCAGCTGCGTCCTGGGAGGGAGGGAGACTCCTTCGGGAGGGGGGCTGCCAGGCCAGGAGCCGCAGAGGCCAGAGACACCACTCAGGTGACATGGAGCTGCGTTTTCTCTCCAGTCTCCACGGGGCAATACAAAGTTAACAAGTGGAGAGGGAGACCCTTCCTCACACCTCTGCTTCCTCCCCTCTCCCTCTCTCCCTTCTGCCCCCCTTCTTACTCTCCATTTCTCCTCCATGCATGTTACTTCCTCTCTCCCACCTCATCATTCTCTTTTTCTGCCTCTTCACCTCATCACACTTTGTCTCTCTTTCTGCCCCGCACCCCATCAGTTTCTCTTTCTGCCCCCATCACTTTTTTGCCTGCTTCCTCCCCCACCCCGCACAGCAGCAGCAACGGTGGTAGTGCTCCCGGCCACCCACCTGCCTCCTCTTCCCCTCAAAGCAGCAGTGGCAGCTCTCTGGGTATCACAACAACTCTTCCTGATACAGAGATCAATTCACCTTAGGGCTGCCAGCTGCAGGTTGGGAAATTCCTGGAGATTTGGAGGTGGAGCCTTGGGACAGTGAGG